TGTTTTGCGATTTGTCAAATGAAAACAGGTTGATGGAAGCACTACCAAATCGAGCATTTTTTATGCAGTACCTAGGCGACACAACATATACATGCGTAAATTTTACGTACGTTACCTTTTTAGGGTTAAAAATAATTTCATTTTTTTTGGGTTGAACCACTAATTCTCGGGCTCAGATTTAGTAATAATAAGGTTGCAGTGTGGTAAATCCACACTAGAGATGGAAGAAACACGTAAATGTCTACCTGACGCATCGCATCACGCCTTAGTGGGTTTAGGAGAGCATCACAAAGTCACCGAAAATGTTTGTTTGTGTTGCACCTGTAAATATGCAAGATCTTGATCTTTGCATGATTTTACGAAATGTTTATTTACATTTTTTAAATTAGGCTATAATTTCTTTTTGATTTGTAAAAATTTGAGCACCGCACAGAAGGCTATAATTTCTTTTTGATTTGTAAAAATTTGAGCACCGCACAGAAGGCTATAATTTCTTTTTGGTTTGTAAAAATTTGAGCACCGCACAGAAGAGTAATACACCGCTTAAAAGTGGGATTAATTGCTTTTGATATAAGTCTCTTTAAATATTATTATTTCTCAAAATATTTAACCAAACTATCGATTGGCCGTATTTAACAGACTGCGGATGTTTATGCAGAAAACGAAGCGTAAAAATATGTACCACTTAACTACGAGCAAAATAAATAAATTTGTGTACATTTTGTTTATAGTTATGGGATACATATTTTTAGGCTTCGCTTTCTGCATAAACATGCGGAGTCTTGTCTTAAAAATCCGCGCCGCTACTTAATCTTTGACGTACGTCAAATTTAACATAACCCATATTGGGTTAATTTTTATCTACCATTTCTCTTAGCTGCATTCTTTTCTTTCGTTATTATGTTCTGTACCCCCTGTCTCGACATGCCCATGACGATCTCATGGGAATAATTTCATAAGATATATTGAGAATTATTGCATGCAATGAACCGTCAAACAGCGTTTTTGTCGGTTGTTTTTTACGCTAAACATGGATTAATACGTGTTTTATGCTAAAAAGAATGTTCACTGTTTTTTTGAATATAGTCATTAAAAACAAGTAAGAAAGTCTAAGTTCGGGCGGAGCCGAACATTAAATACCCGGCGCAAGTATTAAATATATGTTTTCCACCTTTCCGAAAGCTACCGCTACATGATAAGCCGGGGTGTATACATTTTAAGTAAATTAGCGTCCTTAAATTTCGAAATATTGCAGTTTCAAGCATATCTGAAATTTACCGTTATATGAAAAGCGGCCTCAATTTTAGTCCGATTTCAACAATTTTCAACGGTTTGCTTTTATGTGGCAAGCACAATAACCATACCGAGCTTGGTACAAATTGCTAGAACGGTTAGCGAGATACATATATGTGATCACAAGTGGGCGGTGCTACGCCCATTTTCCAAAATTTTGTCATAAACGTATTTCTTGGTAAAGAATTGTTGCAATCATCAATTTTGAATAAATTAGCTTCAATATTTACTGATTTATCGAAGATTTTGTATTTCTCGAAATTACCGTTATATGGGATGTGGGCGTGGTTATTGTCCGATTTTAGAAATTTTCGGCCAGTTGGTATGCTGTACCAGGACCAACAACTGTGCCAAGTTTGGAAGAAATTGGTGTAGCGGTTACCAAGATATACACATGTAACCATAAGTGGGCGTGGCTACGCCCATTTTCCAAAAATTTATAATATTCTTATTTTTCGTCTAAAAATTATTGTAAATATCAATTTTGAGTGAATTATCTTCAGTAGTTACTAAAATATCGCAGTTTTCGTATTTCTGAAAATTACCGTTATATGGGAAGTGGGCGTGGTTATTGAGCGATTTTAAAAATTTTCGGCCATTTGGTATGTTATGCGAAGGCCAACAACTGTGCCAAGTTTGGAAGAAATTGGTGCAGCGGTTACCAAGATATACACATGTAACCATAAGTGGGCGTGGCTACGCCCATTTTCCAAAAATTTATAATATTCTTATTTTTCGTCTAAAAATTATTGTAAATATCAATTTTGAGTGAATTATCTTCAGTAGTTACTAAAATATCGCAGTTTTCGTATTTCTGGAAATTACCGTTATATGGGAAGTGGGCGTGGTTAAAGTCCGATTTCGCCCATTTTCAATACCAACCTACCTTGGATTAAGGGAAACCTACATACCAAATTTCGTTGAGATATCTCAATTTTTGCTCGAGTTATCGTGTACACGGACAGACGGACAGACGGACAGACGGACAGACGGACGGACAGACAGACATGGCTTAATCGATTTCTTTTTTCATCCTGATCATTTATGTATACATTTGTCTATATCTATCTCGATTCGTTTTGCCTGTTACAAACAACCGTTATGTGAACAAAGTTATAATACCCTTGTGCACAAGTGCGCTCGGGTATAAAAAGAAATGCTCCATTTCGCTAGCTTTTTGCAATGGGATCTTATGCGATTAAATGTCCACATAAAAAAATTTCTCGGCGATAACTGTCCCGCATGCTATCAAGTAGCACACTGGTGTATAACTTGGTGAAAATTTACGAATTTCGGTATAAATCTGATTAATTGTGCCAAAAATCAAAAATTTACTCCAAGTTATACACCAGTGCGCTACTTGAGAGGTTGAGGTCCAATCTTCAACTGAATCTAGTGGAGATGAAAAAATAAAGCATGTTTTATAAATCATGTTTTTATGATTTGCTTCTGACAAACAAAAACAAAAAACTTTCAAAGCACACGAAATAATCAATATACTCACGAAACTATGGGATAAATATCTGTAGTAAGTAGTAGTGTGTGTTTTAAGCTTTTCACTCTGATGTCAAGATTTTTTAAAGGGATTCGAAATTTTAAAGATATGACTAACTCAAGTAATAATTTAAAAGAGTGCAATATAGAATAACAACATGGGTACTAAATAAAAAAAAAAATAATTAAAAGCATTCAAGTTGTTTGGCTTGCAAGAACGAATAGGTATTGAAAATGCCCTTTTAATTATTTTTTTTTTAACAAATAACGTTAGGAAGTGGAAATTCGAGGATGTGGTCGTGTGTATATTAGTCCTTAACATATAATTTTGCCAAAAATAAATATAACAAAAGATATTCATAGACAAAAGTTTAAAAGGACATTTTCAATACCCGTTCGTCCCTATGCACCAAAAAATTTAATCTTTTTCAATTCTATAGGATTTTAAATTTTTTTTGATACCCACATTGTTTTTCTACATTGTACTGAATTATTTAAATAATTTATGAATCATACATACATACATTCTTTTGAAATTTCAAATCATGGGCGTCAGAGAGAAAAGCCAAATAAGCAGTTTTACTATATTTTGCCCAATGTTTCGCGAAGATATTAATTTTGTGTAAAATTCACCTTCGCACTTTAAAATTAAAACATCTTTAAAATTTCAAATCCTTTTGAATCAATTGAAATGAAGCCTGTTGAAATATTTATTTTGGTAAACATTTCAAATATAAGGATTTCTTTTTTCTTTTAGGGAAACATTTACTACGTTTACTAATTTCTACTTTTAGAAATAATCTTGTCAATTACTAAGCTTCTTATTTCCGTTCTTCTTCAAGGGGCGCACTTTCAGTTTGTCTTTTTACGCTCTTCATTTGGATTTTTGGCTGGTGATGGCTAATTAATAAAAGAGAAATTTTAGATCCCATTTATGAATTAAAAAAGGACGAACAGATAAAATTTGAGGAGAGTAGGGTTGCCAGATGGAACTTTTCACCCGGAAGTGCAGTCGAATCTCCGGGATCGGGTTTGGCAAGAAAATCTGCTAGCGAACATTTTTTAGTGTTTATACATATGTATGTATTGTATGTATGATTTTTTTGAATTGAAACCGTTTCTTTCTACGCTAACGAAATTCACATATTTTATGGGAAATTTTCCACTGCTCGGACAAGGAGTAGGAGTCGAGTAGGAAAAACCAGGACCTCTAGAATTGACTATAATTTATAGCCCAATTGATTGAAGTCTGCACACCAGATGGCCAATCATCCGTGAAATGAAATTCGAAACATGATTTTGTGTTGATATTGTTTTATGAGTTGGTAAGAAGTTCTTTTGAAGCCATCATAGGAAGCCGAAAATATTTTCGTCCGTAAACCGAGTTCATTTTTGCCGAGTCCAGGCCTTTGAATTTGACTTAAGTTTTTGTTTCAACTCTTCTGAGAGTAAATGTGCTGATTCCCGACTAACCTCTTTATGACGCGCAGCATGCTGTCCTTGTTGGTATTCTATAAGGGGACGTGATTTTCTGCATGCGCAGAATTCGCCCTTTACACATATTCGCAGGCCAGATACGACGACTTACATATAAAACTTTCAACACGGAAACTTTTCGTAAATATCACTCTTCAAATAAATAGCCGTTATTTTAAAGTGGGTATGTTCACTGATTAGTGAGAATGTGTGTCCTCAACACGTTAACGGGTGTCATTTTGAAAGTTGGTATCAGGTAAACATAAGCAAAACTTACTAACGTATCCCATATATAATCCAGATAAAAGAATCCATTTTTCGAGTGTTTGCTAGCGATTTTTGTCAAATAATTACTCTTTTATTGAATTTTTTTTTAACCACTTTGGAACGAAATGTGTGTTCGCTAGCAGGAGCTTCGGAAAGGATAAATTAAGCCATTTGAAGAAATTTCATAGAATACATTTTCTAAAATTTGTTCGAATGTTTACAATATTCTCTGCATTAACAAAAGAAGAACTTTCTGTCTCTGCTGACTTTCCACTAGGCATTTGAATAAAAGTACAGTTTTATAGATTTTGCGAATGACTTTCGCCAATATTTGCAGTTTTCGGTTAGTTTTGCGGTGAAGTAACAGGTCGTAAATTTTTTTAATCCGTCATTTTTTTAATTTTCCACGGTTGTATTAAATACATATGTAAGATCTATGCATGAATAAATAACCACTTCAAAAAACTTACTCTAAACTACGCAGAAGAAATAGTCTCATCAAAAAGTACCTTGCCTGAAAAAAAAGAATAAAAAAGTATTAGAACTAATGAGATTTCGTTGTTTGGTATTTTATCTATTAACGCTAGTTTATGGAATAATATTTAGTATGAAATATTTTTCTCCTTACAACACTATTTAAATAATTAATAAATATATACATATATGTTCTAAAATGCATATATTTAAGAGACCACTAAGATCGGCAGCCGTTTTTGGATAACATCGCAAGCTACAAAATGCACAAGAAATATTACGAAAATAAATACCAAATATATGGAAAGGGGGGATTGTGTTTTGTAATAATTCGCAGATCTGGACGATTTATTAAGAAGTTCACCCTAAATCGGATTTTCAAATTTAAAAACGAAATTAATTCACTAATTCTTAATGTTGGCGTGGTGTGCAATGGTATCTCAAGATGAAAATTCACAATTTTTTTAACTACATTAAAAGTTGTAATAAACAATAAATAAACATATTCGGCTTGTCCTTTGTTGAAATATGGTTCTGTTATAAACAATTGCAAAATTCATTAAGTTCCAAATCTAATCCGCAAACATTTATCTGCACTCTTTATTTGAAATTCTTCTGCCGATAAAATATTGTACGTTTCTAAAAGCAAGAAAATTGTGTAAATTTAAATGGAATAGTATACTCCGCCATCCGATCGAGTTGTTTTTTTTATTTTTAAGTACTTTTAAGTATCTTTTTAAGTATTGACCAGATAAGCGTACGAATCGGCTGCTATTGTCTCGATCGAAAACGTGAAGATTTCACACATCAATTGCATAAACTACCCTTTCTAAACTTTGCTTCAACTTTGATATTTACACGGAAATGTGATCTATGTAGTCGCAAACAAAATCAAAAAAAGGGATTTAATGCCTCTCTAAATTTATTTAAGCTTTAATGCATTACATTTGCGGTTGGCACGAATGGGTCACAAAAGCGCTTTTAGCCAGAAATATGGAAAAAAAACTGAACTGCCGCACCACTTGAGCGCTCAAGTGTTTTGTCAACACACGCTTTACACTATTGCAGCTGCCATGACATGTCGCCCGGAGCAAATGAGTAATTGTTGCCACCTGTTGAGATGCCAGATTTTTTATATAGTTAAGAAAGCGCACAGCAAGCTCCAGCGCAATAGTTTTTCGTTTGTTTGTTTTTTTTTCTTGGAACCATTTCATTTGGTTTATTGTTTTTGTATTTCTTTTTGTAAAATACCACATGCTTGATTTATAAATGCAATTAAGTGGTAAATACATGCATATACATACATAAGCACTCGATTCGCTGGAAAGCTCTGCATGTTTCACTTTACAGCTTGCTTTGCATTGATTGTATCCCCATTGAGAGCATATTGTCATGGATTGATTCTCAGAAATTCACACAACCATCGAATTTGTGGTGCTACATGGTTGAAATTAAAAAAAAAAAATTATTTGCCTTGTGTACTATGTGTTTAATTTTTGCCAAACATCAAAAAATGAATGGTACAGCAATGCCTTTTTGTGCTGAGATTCGAAATAAATTTAAGTTATTAAGTCGCGCGCCCAGAAATTTTATTTTATTTTTTTTTGGATTTAAATATATAAGTGTGTCACTTCCATAAGGTACCTATTGATTCAACGAGAATAGTTTTTAAATTTATTATCTTAGTAACATATCGAGCCTTAATCGCCAAAAACATGTAAACGGCATTTTTTTCATAATTTAATTTTTGGTGCAGAAATGTTCATAGAGCATATAGATGCATTTCGGCATTAAAAATAAAATTTAGAAAAAAAAATTTACATCTTTTTGGCGGCGGTTAGTGCACGATATAGTACAGATATTAACGTAAACATCGCGCGTTTGTTGTTAAATATAAAAAGAAAAATTTTCAATAATAAATGTATGCCTTTCAATTAAATAGTTATTCAATCCATGCAGCCAAGCAGTTAAAACAATGTACGTACAATATTTGTGTACTGCAGGCTCACCGCCCAAACTCCACACAAGGACCTGCGAAAGTATTTCTGGAATGAAAAGATCTTTTACTGAAACCTTCGAACATTTTTTTTTAATTCTGAAAGTCGCTGTAGCCGAGTGGTTAGATATGCGTCCTACAACTCCATAGGACCAAGCTTTAATTCCTGATCAAAGCAACATCTCAAAAAAAATTAGAATAACGTTTTTTTGTAACAGCGCAAAACCCAACAGCAGGCAACGCAATTTCTGCTTTGACAAAGGTTCTCATAAAATCCATTACGAACTATTCTTATAGGACCTCTAAAAACCTCAAAAAGTGCAAATCCCATAAAAACCAGCCAGTATTAAAATATGATATAATAAACAATTGGGTATTTTTATTCGCAGTCTCCGGAAGAGGAGCAAAGTTTTCTAATCGAAAAATATTGATTTTAAAGACCTCTGTACCAATTCTACGAAAACTTGTTTTTTCCCCATGCATATAAAATACATAAAAACTTCAGGCGCTTTGAGCCGCCTCTAAATATTTATCGATTTCAAAATAATAAAATTATAGTTAAAAAACTAAAAACACGCTTTTATTACAACAAGAGCTAAAAAGTATAAAATAATTTACAGATATAGCGATTCCGTTTAAGAAGAAAAGGAAGTTCAGCTTTTTGTGCAGCTTTGTGACATAATTTTCAATGGGCTATCTTTAAAAAAAAACTCCAACAAACTTTAGAGTGGACTTTATTTTGACTTTGACTACGGGTTAAAGTTAGGTTAAATTAAATCAAGTTAAGTAAAATTGTAGATTAATTAAAAATTATTTATGTATAAATGGGAACGTGAGCACTTGTTTTTCTCTCAGCATCCTTTCACACAAAAAATTTTCACGCACGTTCTAGCTGCTTGCCTAAATTAACAAAGGTCGCAAAAATGTTTGAAGCAGACAACTAAAATTTGATCTCGGCAAAGCTTAAAAGGCAAATGAAGAAAATTCCACGAAGGGAAGAAATAAATTAAATCAACTAGCAATAAGCAATAAAGCGTAAGAACATTTGCATCATGTGATTTGCAAAATGTCATAAAAATTCTCTAAAAGTACAGGCAGCTCGTATTTCACAAAATCTACGGCGAAGATAAAGATGCACAGATGAAACCTCTGTTGGATTGCAACACAGCTGCGCAACATCATCTGCGTGCAACTGGGGCTATAAAATTGCTTCGCTGAAGCCGAAAGCTGAAACAATGAAAACGAAACAGCGGTGCTCCGGTGATTCACTCGAAGCGCCAGGCGGCAGAGATGAGAATGAAGTGGCGAGCGGTGAAGGCGCATGTTTGCTAGGGCCATGTCAAGTAGCGTTGCATGCATCATACAAATGTACATACGACGGGAATAATGTTGGCATTACACCCAAAGAAATCTTCTAATTGCGCCGTGTTAACTTACAAAAGCCAAAAAATGGTGAAGGATAGCAGAAGGGTGAGGTACATAGCTGTGGAAAGGAATACTGAAGAGAATATCTGCAGAGAAAAGGGAAGACCAAGGTAGCAAAAAATTAAAATTTCTGACTGCAGTAAAGAAACGAAAGGCGATACCTTGGAACATAAATGAGTAACCTTAAATGAAGTGATTTAAGCGAGCAAAGCGAGAAGAATAGATAGCAGCAAAGAGCCTTAGAACGTTTACTGTTGCTCGTGTATGCGACGCCTGCCACATGCATTCTTCACATCGATTGCTGCAGTCTTTTTAACTTTTTTTGTTTTTTTTTGACGTTTCTTTAATTTTCTCTTCTTCGTCTTCTTCGAATGCGCTAATTGCACTGAGGTGTTGCTGACCTTAACGCTCCTACGCGCCCTCACGAAAGCTGTAACAGCAATCTCTGGCTCTAATCGGCTGAATGGAAAGCTGAGAAACTACATTTGTTGCAGCAGTGTTGTTGCAACAAACAAAAGCAAGCTTCTTATGTCAACGCCAACGGAAAATAATCTCAAGTGCAGTTAGGGTAAGCTGACATCTTGAAAGCTTCTGGTTTTCTTTCTCTCTTAATCTCTGTCTTTTTTTCAGTGGTGGGCGGCGCCATTTTTTTGTAGACTTTAAAAACAAAAACAAAATTTCAAAGAAATGTTCGCTTTTATTTCCTCATCCTTTTGTCAGATATTTAGTTTTCAGTAATCATTTTCGCCTTTAATTACTAGTAAATCAGCTTAAAAAGTCAAAATAAGAGAAACCAAAAAAGTAGGTTAAGTAACTAGCTCTAATAAAGGGAGATTAAGCGAATGTCCAAAAAGATTCTACGTATTGCTAAGCTATCATTAAGATTTAAATTGCACCGCCACTGACATAGCATCTTTTTTTTTTTTTAATTATGTTTATTACTTTGGGGGCATTTGTCAAAATTTAGTAAACAATTTGATAAAGACTGCCTCATGACATCTAAAAAAATAATATGGCGCTTTGATAAGTGAGTGCTTGAATATTTAGAATGGCATATTCTAATACAAAACTGCGCTTGTCAGGTGCTATCTGCTAGTAGACCAACTTGTTTAGCAGACAAGCTCGTGAATTTCTGCTTTTCTTTCTGTTTCCATACATTTTCCTATCTTAATGAACGCTACAATTCAGTGGGAACTGCGATCGAAGAATTTCGTCAAATTGCCTCTCCACTTTCCGAAGTTGCATCCGTGGTCTATCCCAAGTGAACACAGGTCCTTCTGCATTTGGTCCTTCCAATGTATTCGGGGGTGCCGCGATGAGAAATTTGTTCACTGTCATTATCCAGGCGAAAATAGCCACCAAAGCGTTTTAATTTTTGCTCGTTATCGTCCACGTTTCTGTGCCATTTAAGACCAAAGTAATTATTAGTGGCGTTGATGTTGACTCATAGATATGCGAAGTCTTTCACTACCTCAAAAGTATAACTTACCGACAAAGAACGTACATAATAATAAGGGACAACTCGTTATAATTGCGAGTGTGAGTAACAGGGGCCTACTTTCTCTTTTGCACTAGTACGTTTTTTGATTGGATGAAAAGAGAAGGTACGCCCCTGTTAC